CCTCTGGAAGAGCAGCCAGTGCTCTTAACTGCTGAGCCATCTCTCCAGCCCCTGATCTGCATTTTCATTTTCTCATTCTCTCATTGAGTTTTTGAAATCTTGTAGTGAATTATTTTTTTCTATTTTGTAAATGATTTTTATTAAAATATGATTGCATGATTTCCCCTTCCCTTTCTTCTCTCTAGCATCTTCCATGTATGTTGCCTCTCTTTCTCTGAAATTCCTATCTTTCATTAAGTGTTGTGAAATATATACCCACAGGCACACAATCTGTTCAGTCCATATACTGTATATAATAATATATAATGTGATACTACACACACACACACACACACACACACACACATATACACACAATTATATAATATATAATTTCAACACTGACCACTTGATATGGGCAAACATATCAGGATACTGTTTATTGGTGAAGGCTATTTCTTCTCCTCTCAGCATTCCTTACTTGCCTGTAGTTCTTTCTCTGTTGGTAATTTGTTCGAGTCTTGTTTGGGAGTCATATTGTTGGGACTTCATAGGTCTATATCCCCTGATATTTCTAGTGGGTACACACAGAAGATACCCTGACTCCCCTTTCTGGCTCTTCCAGTCTTTCTTCCACAATACTACCTGAGCATATGGTGCAAGAGTTGTATTGTCAGTGTATCAGTTGTAGCTGAGAACCACATGACCATTGTTGTCTGCCTTTTGATTAGTTGTGCTTCCCTGTAATGGCTGTTCATTGAAAATAGAAATTTCTTTGACAAAGGGTGAAAGCTACATTTAACTATGGATTTAATGATAAACATTTAGAATACAATTAGGAATTATGCTGGTTTAGTAAAGTGGTGGTTATAAATTCCCATCCAAGATCCATGATCTCAGAAACCCAGAGTAGTTCCTTAGGTTTCTACCAGTCATGACTTTCCTCTTGTTGATAAGAATAGTAAGAGAGCTGTTGGTTACCACCGAGGTATATGTCTTAGGGATTCTATTGCTGTGAAGTGACACCATGACCAAGGCAACTCTTATAAAGAAATACGTTTAATTGTGGCAGTTCATTTACAGTTGAGAGGTTCAGTCCATTATCATCATGGTGGGACATGGTGGCATGCAGGCAGACATTGTGCTACATCTTGCAGACAACAGGAAATTATCTGACTCACTGGGAGTAGCTTGAGCATTGGAGACCTCAAAGCTCACCCCCACAGTGGCACACTTCCTTCAACAAAGCCACTCCCTTTAAAGGCCATTTTCCTTCAAACCACATGCCACTATTTCACTCTTAGGGTTATCATGTCATGTTGGCACTTGTGTAATTCATAGGTTTGATAGCTGCATGGAACTAATGACTGCTTCCCTCCCTTGGAAGCTTACATGGTACCTTCTTGGTACTGTGAAAGCTAGTTCTCAAAGAAGGATGCTTTCAAGTCAGATTCAGCATGGATCCTCTGTTCAAACTGCAAGGTGACTTCAGCAATAGGAGTTATCATCAATCTCTGGGAAGCAACCAAGGGCAACAGCAATAGCCTATAATGCTTGGGAAATTTTGGGGCTTCCCAGACCAACAACTTGAGAGTTTCTCATGTCTAGTATTAGGTTTTTGTTAGATAGTCTGTGGCTCTTGGAGCATTATTAGCCCAGGTGAGAAATTTCATTTCAAAATTACATGTATGTACACACACACATATAAACACATATATATGTAAATTTTGGTAAATGGATAATACATAATAGTATGTTTCCTTATGATAGGATATTTTTAGAAAAGCTTTAAAATACTGCTGAGTAGAAAGTGTATTTCTCAGTGTTTAGGCAGAATGTAATGTAGAGATCTGTTAAGTCCATTTGATGCATGATGTCATTTAATTCTAATGTTTCTCTGCTTATTTTACATCTAGATGACCTGTCTGTTTGACAAAATGGTTTTTGAAATCACCTACTATTGATGGGTTGATGACAATCTGTGTCTTTAATTTTACTAGTATACTTTTTAGGATAGTGTAAGCATTTGAGTTTGGTATGCCTATGCTTAGGAGGGTAGTATTTTCTCAGTTAATTGTGACCTTGATTAGAATGAAGTGTCTCTCTTTATCTCTTCTGGTTAGTTTTAGTTTCAAGTCTATTTTGTCAGAAATTAGTATGGCCACACTTATTTTATTCCTGGTCTCATTTCACTTTCTATCACTTTATGGTGGTATCCATCTTTAATGCTAAAGTGAGTTTCTTGTAGACAACAAATAGGTGGATTTTGTTTCTTGATCCAGTCCACCAGCCTCTTTCTTTTGATTGGAGAATTTAAGCCATTAATATTTAAAATCATTCTTAAAAAACTATGTGTTGTTTGCAGTGATACTGTTTGTGTTTTTGTGTTTTAGTAATTATAGCATCATTTATTTTCTTTGTAGACTCTCCTGGCTGTGCTTATTCCTCTCTTCAGCTGAAAGTATTGCTTCCTGTATTTTGTTTAGGATTGGTCCACTGGGTATAATTTTTTATTTTATATTACTTGCATTTCTAATGCTTTATTTATATAGTATTTTTTTGTAGAATATGTATGTTATATCTATGATATTGAAAACAACAAGTGTTTATTTAAGAAATACCAGTGATTAGAATGAAGAAACCAATTATTGCTCAGTTTTACTCCAGTTGCTTCTATTGAATTATCTTATTCCATTGTCAGACTGGGCAACGAGTACCAAGCTGTTTCTGTCTTCTGTCTATCTTTGTACCAATGTATTCAGGACTACTTCCTACTTTCTCTTCTATCAGGTTCAGAGTAACTAGATTTATGTTGAGGTCTTTGATCCACTTGGACTGAAGTTTTGTGCACGGTGACAGATATGGGTCTATTTGCAGTCTTCTACATTATAATCAAAACATTAAAAATACATAGCAAAAAACCTAGCAACAGTGAAACACCAAGTCACATATAAAGTCAAGCCCATCAGAATAAGAGCAACTCACCTGAGACTTGGTAAGATGTATTGCAAATTTTAAAAGACAATAGCAGACAAACCCAGACTATTATTTCTAGCAAAGGTATCTGTCATAATTTCAGGAAAAAAATTAAAACTTTCAATGGGAAAATAGGCTAGAATAATGTATGACCACTATGTAGCTAGAGTTTTCTCTCTGAGTCCTGCCAAGTCCTGGCAGTCCAACAGCCCACTTATAAAATAATCACTCAGACGCTAATATTATTCAAACTGTTTGGCCTAATGGCTCAGGCTTCTTGCTAGCTGCTCTTATATCTTAAATTAACCCATTTCTATTAGTCTATAAGTTTCTATGTGGCTCGTGGCTTACCAGTACCTTACATCTTGCTTGTCATGGCGGTGGCTGGCAGCGTCTCTCTCCTCAGCCTTCCTGTTCCCACAGTTCTCTTCATACTTGTCCTGCCTATACTTCCTGCCTTGCTACTGGACAATCAGTGTTTTATTTATTAACCAATCAGAGCAACACATTTAACATACAGAACATCCTACAGAAGCACTAAGTCAACTCTACAGACAATACATGAAGGAATTCTTCAGACTGAAGAGTTAAACATATATATCCATGGAGCCAGAGGAATGAATAAGCCATGCTAGAATAATAGTTAAGTAAGACAAGAAGAGATTAAAAACTAGACACTCAAAATCTACAAAATAACAATTAATACATATCTTTCAGTAATTATTCTAATTATTATTGGTTTAATTCTCCAATCTAAAAACACAGCCTACTTAATATACCTTAAACAGATGGCACTATATAGTGAAAAGATAGGAAAAGATGTTTCATACAGATATGCCTAGAAGATGATCAGGTGTTTCTCTTATAATACCTGGTAAAATAGATTTCAAAGCATCTAGTGAGAAAAGATGAAGATGGCTACTTCACACTGATTTAAGGAATGATCCTTCAAGTGGACATTGTGATATGCCCCAAATATAGGTGCAGACAATTACATCTATAGCAGGCTTTCTTTTGTGCCACCAACCAGCTCCCAAAACATGACATGGAGACTTATTATTAGTTATCAATGCTTGGCCTTATGTTATGCTTGTCTCACTAGCTCTTATAATTTATTTTAATCTGTGTCTCTTCATCTACATTTTGTCTCATGGCTTTTTACCTTTCTTTCTGTATGTTCTATTTCCCTGCTTACTCCATGTCTGTCTGTCTGTCAGCTTCCTGGCTGTCTAGTCTTGGGAATCTCCCTCTCTTTCTCCCTTGTTCTCCTTTCTTCTCAAGCCTAGATTCCTCCTCCTATTTATTCTCTCTGTACACCATCCCCACCTATCCCTCTACTGCCTAACTATTGGCCATTCAGCTTTTTATTAGACTAATCAGGAGCCTTAGGCTGGCAAAGCAATACATCTTTACATCATTAAACAACTGCAGCATAAACAGATGTAACACACCACTACATAGTTAAAGTAATACATACATTAAGCAAATACTATTAGCTGTTAAGTCACAGATTAACCCTAGCACAGAAGTAGAGGGTGACTTCACTATCTCATTATTGCCAACTGACAAGTCTTCCCAACAAATTAGACAGAAAAGTATGCAAATTCAATGACACCATAGGCCAAAAGATCTGAGTAGACACTGCAGAATTTCCTATCCAAATGTTCCAGAATACATTCTTCTCAGCAATCCATAGAACTTTCTCCAAGAAGACCACACAAAGCAATCTCAACCATTACAGGAAAATTGAAATAATTCTATGTATTCTACCTGATCACAATGGAATACGAATTTGAATCAACATAAAGAAGAACCATAGAGCTTACACAAAATCATGAAGACTAAGTAACATACTAATGAATGAAGAAAACAAGAAGAACATTTTTGTTTTATTTTATTTCGATTTTTATAGTTTATCTGTATGAATGTTTTGATTGCATGTATGTCTGTGTGCAAGTTGCATGTCATGGTGTCCACAGAGGCCAGAAGAGGGTCTTGGATCTCCTGGGACTGGAGTTATAAATGATGGTGAGCTGCCATGTAGGTAGTGGGAATCAAAACTGATCCTTATGGAAGACCAGCCAGTGATTTTTTACCACTGAGCCCTCTCTCCTGCCCCTGTAAGAAAAAAACTTTAAAACCCTAGAATCAAATAAAAATGGAAACACAAAATATCAAAATATGGGATGCAGTGATACGATGAAAATGATCCTAAGTGAGGAGTTTGTAGCTCTAAGTGCTTAAAAACCAGAGAGATTTCAAATAATGAAACACCTTTGGGCCCTAGAAAAACAAGAAGAAGGCAAACACCAAATCACTATACAGAGAGAAATCACTAAGATCAACACAGAAATTCATAAAAATGCAAACAAACAAGTGCCAAGAATCAATGAAACAAAGAGTTGGTTCATTAAAGAAATGAGCAAGATTGACAAACCCTTAACAAAACTTACCAAAAGAAAGAGAAGACCAAAATTAGAGACAAAAGGGGGTATTACAACAAATACCAATGAAATTCACAAAATAATTAGGTCTTACTTTAAAAACATATAAGAACATTCTACTAAATTGAACAATCTAAAGGAAATGTTTAAATTTCTTGGTATGTGTGACCAACCAAAATTAAGCCAAGATGAGATACACAATTTGAATGTATATAACAAGCCATGAGACTGAAGCAATTAATAAAAATCTCCCACAACAACAGCAAATGTCCAGCCCCTGTTGAATTGACGGGTTTGTTTTACTACACCTTCAAAGGACTAACACCAATGCTTCCAAAACTAGTCCATAAAATAGAAATGAAGAAATATTACCAAACCTTTTCTCTTTTTAAAAACAGAAAACAGGACCTCATTTGATGTAGCTCTGACTGACCTGGAATACAAGAAATGTACCAGATTGGCCTCAGAGTCACAGAAATACACCTTCCTCTGCCTCCCAAGTACTGGGTTTAAATGTGTGCACCACTATGCCAAGCCTTTTTAATTCTTATTGAAACTGGTATTCTCTGATAACAAAGCAAATAAGGATACAACAACAACAAAAGTACAAATTTATCTGATGAACTTAGACTAAAAAAATTCTCAAAAAAGCACTTGCAAACAAAATGTAAGAACTCATAAAAAATATTGCTCACCATCATCAAGTTTGGTTTACTTCAGAGATTCTGGAATGGCTTAGTATATGTAAAGCTATAAATGTTATAAATCACAAAATGGACTCTAGCATAGAAATTACATGGTCATCAGACACACAAAAAATTATTTGACAAAATCCAACATCCCTTCATGTTTAAAGTCCTAAAAATCTGAGAACACAGTGAACATATATCAATATAATAAGGAGTATATATAAAAAGTCTATGGACAACATGTTAAAATAAATCAAAGTATCCCATTCACAGTAGCCCTTAAAAATGAAATATGTTGTAATAAATCTAACAATGAATGTGAATGATCTCTACAATAAAAATTTTAAAACACTGAAGAATTGAGTTGGGAAAAACACTAGAGAATGGAAAGGCTTCCAATGCTCATGAATTGGAAGAATCAATGTTTTGAAATAGGCTATCATACCAAAAACAATCTACATATTCCACACAATCACAATCAAAGTCTAGTTCTGTTCATCACAGAAACAGAAAAAAAAAATACTTAGAGAAGCACAAGAGATCCTAGATAGACAGAAATCTAATTTGATAGTTTTGGGAAGAGGAAACACCACCAAGGGAGACTCAACACCTTTCTTCCATATGCTTTGATTAGACAACCCCTTTGTTCTGTTCTACCTGCCCACTTTGCTGGACATGTTCTGTCATGAAGATTAACTGCAAAAGACTGTCCAAGGATGTAACACAAAGTAGCATGTATTTTTACTAATTTAGAAGTCTCAAATCCCTACTCTCACTCTTAATTTAAATGAGCAAAATATTTACGGGTATAATATAAAATTTCTTCTAGCTATATTTTAGTAGTATCAAGAGAGTTCTGTTTGTTTCCTAACAGGATTAACAAGATACACTAAGAGTGGAAGATTTGTGGATAATATTTTCACATTATACTATGATCATTTGGGATTCATACACAAACTGACTCCAGAACGCTTTGACACTGATTTATCACGTTCAGGCTCTGGATCGTCTTCTAATATTTTTGGAACGGTCAGTAACATGATGCACTGAAACTGTTTGCCTTATTTTGAGAACAGATGCCACATTCTATGTGCAGGCCAATGAAACAGTGTTTACCTTAATACAAACCCTTTTAAGGTTTCAAAATTGTGTGTGTGTGTGTGTGTGTGTGTGTGTGTGTGTGTGTGTGTGTGTGTATGTGTGTGTATACATATGAGGGCAGGTGTTTGTGGATGCAGGTGTTTGTTTGAGGTGGTGGGTCTACCCTAAAGCTGGATCTAAAGGCAGTTGTAAACCACTTGGCAGGGTACCTGCAAACCAAACTCAGGTCCATTGCAAGAGCAAGTATGTGCTCTTAACAGCTGAGCCATATCTCCAGACCTCTCAGGACACTCTTTGCTCGGGGAAAACTTTGTATACAACATTGAACACCAACAAAATCTTCTCTAAGCCCCACAGGTATCCTCATACAAGATTTCACAGCAGAAGAACAACATGTCTAAAACAGATCTGTTACAAGCAACTCAGCTCCTGGTTTATTTTCTACCTTCCAATGTTGGCCTTGAAGAAATATGGTTTTTGATTAACCTTTCACCTTCCATGTTAAATAGTCATGCTCCCTAGTTTATTCCTTGTTTAATGCCGACAGAGCACAGTTTTATTACCCTTCACAGATGATAATAAATACCTATTTTTAATAATTACAATATATAATGTGTAATATATATATTACTGGCAGCTAGATAGAAAATGAATACACATCAAGAAAGCAGCCAAGCCGGGCGGCGGTGGCGCATACCTTTAATCCCAGCACTCGGGAGGCAGAGCCAGGCGGATCTCTGTGAGTTCGAGGCCAGCCTGGGCTACCAAGTGAGTTCCAGAAAAAAAGGCGCAAAGCTACACAGAGAAACCCTGTCTCGAAAAAAAAAAAAAAAAAAAAAAAAAAAAAGAAAGCAGCCAAGACTAAAATGTGTTTCAGAGGGGTTGGTAAAACTGTCATTTGTCTTTAAAAAACAGAAAATAGAATGAGTCTCTTAATAAGTCAGTCCAGGCCTAGAGAGGTAACTCTGTGCCTAAGAACATTTGCCACTCTTCCAGAGGACTAGAATTTGGTGCTCAGAACCCACATGGTGACTCAATCATCCATAACTATAGCTTCAGAACATCCAATACACATTTATTACCTCTAAGAGCAGTAAGTACACATATGTGGCACATATATGCAAGCTGTGCTGGTTGGGTTTTGTCAACTTGATATAAACCCAGAGACATCTGGGAAGAATAATGTCATTTGAGGAATTGGTTACATCAGACTGGCTTGGAGTAAGGTCTTTGAGGCATTTTCTTGGTAAATGATTTATGTGGGTAGTAACAGCAAGAAGCATTCTTTTATGTCCTCTGCTTCGTTTCCTGCCTCTAGGTTCCTGACAAGTCTGTTCCCTAGTTTTCCTTCCTAGTGGACTATAAGCTATAATCTGAAATAAACCATTTCCTCTCAAGTTGCTTATGATCAGCATGAGAAAATAAACTAGCACACAAGCAAAGTAATCATACACATATGATAAGAATAAATATATTAAAATATACAGTAGTTAAAAGATCAATCTGTATACCAGGCCAAGACTACAGGTGGAGAGGAAGGTGCTCTCACATCCTCTGTCTGAGACATGCACACAAATGAAAGAGAGGAATCCATGAGAGGGATTGCCAACATGTTCTCTGATCATTGGGTCTGGATTCTGCAAATATGCACAGTAGATGATGTGAGCAGTCTGCCAGACATAACCTAAAAAAGCAGGCATGTCAAATTTCACTAACATCACAGTTTTGCTATAAGTAGCTTAGTTCCCTTAAGTGAAAGTTGAAATTGTTAAGATGGAGAAACTATAGAAATTCTTATATTCAGGACAAATTTGAAGAACAGTGATTCAACAGCTTTATTTCTTTCTCTCTACAAATGATACATGCATCCATCCTCTCTGGAAAAAAGCAATTATTAACTCTTACTGTGTCAGACACTGCTGTGGACTCTTCATTTTATAACAACTATTTGTCCTCAATTACTTAGGATGTAAGCAAGGCACACAGAGTAAATAACTACCCAAATTATGTTGGGATATTAGAATTAGATTTTTCACTGAGGCAGTTGATTCCTCTTAGCAACCCTATTTCCCTATCTCTTTCATTCTTGGTGAGTACCCTAAATTCAAACACTGGGAGGAAAGTATGACAGAAAATGATTATTGGAGGCAGTACTTGATGGATATAACCCAAAACAGACTACAGTATCTACAAGACTGAATACACACACACACACACACACACACACACACACACACACACACACACACACACACACTCTTTGTCTCCTAAGCAACAGGATCAACTCCAACAACCATTTTGAAGCTAGTATTCATCTCTATTTTCATTGACTAAAACATCCTGGAACTGGACAGTTCAGGATGAAAGAATTAGATGTCAGAAATCTAGGAAAATGTTGCCTTAAGGGAGTCTGTAAGTTATGAAAGTCCAAGGAGTAGGATATACTAGCAGAGACCAGAACCAGGAGGCTCAAGGTACAGACCTTGAGACTCAGAGCAGCAGTGCTCAAAGGAGAGGCCCTTTATTGGACCCAGTAAAAACTCCCAGGAAGAACCCCATTATGACAAGATCTTCTGTGTTTAGGATGGTGACCCAAATCTAAAATCTGCATCTCCAAACTCATCACCTCAGCCTCCTACAAAGGGCACAAGAACTTCAAACTGTGTCTTAATTATCAGACTTCCTTTTCCTCCACTGCAGAAAACTGAGTTTTCCCTTTCACATATATAAATATTCAAAGATATCCAAAGAGCATATAGGTATATTGCTTCAACCAATAAGCAAAGCAGAATTGTTTTGATATGAATGGGAAACAAGTTTGCTGTTTGAATTGCATTATAATTGAAGCATAAGATATTCAACATACAATATTTCCTTTTCTCCAATTTCAGCCACCTGATTTGGGATTTGATACTGCACTAGCTCCACAGTTTCTCTCCCCCAATGAAATGATTTTCTTTGCATATGTACCGCTGAGTGAACCTAACAGCAAGCTATACAAAAGGAAGTTCAAAAATATTCACATTGGGAAAGTGATAAACTACAGGTAATTGATGATTTGTTCACACTTACTTAGAATACATACTGGCTTTCAGATCCAACACTTTAACCAACTGTTTTGAGGATTTTTTTATTTTAATTAATTTTTTATATATCTTTCATGACAAAATACATTTTATGACAGATTCTCACTATATAGTCTTTGCTGACCTAGAACTTTCTATGTTGAACAAGCTGGCCTGAACTCCCTGAGATATCCATGCATCTGCCTCTTACTGGATTTCCTTGGCTTTTGATTATCTGTGTGACTATGAGATTCAGTTTGTCAGGTTTCCATAAGGGAGAAAAAAGTCTCTTAACAGAAATTATATCTTGAAGCAACTAAATTCTGCTTTATGTCTGTAATTAGTTTGTGAGTAGAATTTATTTATCTTTCTCAAGAGCCTTAATCATTCCATTTAATTTTTTTTCTTTTATTTTGAAATTTTTATTCTCTCTCTCTCTCTCTCTCTCTCTCTCTCTCTCTCTCTCTCTCTCTTTCTGTGTACCACATGTGGAATCAGAAGACAACCCACAGAGATTCAACTACTGAGCCATCTTGCTGGCAGCTAGTTCTACTCAATTCCCTTAGAAATTTAGAATTGAGACACATTCCTGATACTCTTTAGTGGGTCAAGAATTGTGTTTCACTTCCCTCTTCTGTAAAGTGTACTAGCCTTTGCACTCCAGAAAACTGTCTTCATTTTCTTACACCATCACTTACAGCTTCCTCTTCCTAGGGAAGAAGGGCAGGGGGAGGAGGAAGGCAGAGTTGGAGAGTGAGAATCCTCAGACAGCACTGACTGACTTTTTGAAGCCTGTGTGCAAGTTTCTGATACTCAATATTCTGTGGATTACTGGTTTTGCTTTCCATGAAATAAAGTTCAGAGAATCAGGTGATGCAGTGGCCTGCTTCTTCCTGTTCTCTGATTCTCCCCAGGTTGACTGTGCAGCCAGTGTCTCTAGTCACTCTCTTACCCCAGTCTTTGTCATGAACCTCCAAAAGAAACCCATGGAGCTCTCACTGAGTACGAAGTCCCTTTGCCCAAGTGCTCTAGCCTTTCCAGACTCACATGTTGG